GCCGAAACCAAACCGAGGGGTGGACGGCGAGGAGAGGGCGAGTCACAGGCTCTGGCTGGACGGGCTTGGGCTCTCGGATCACCGGGACGCAAAGGGTAAAATAGAGACTTAAGCTTCCCTATGGGCCGCGTGGACACTTGAGGCCTGTGGGGCCGTTCCCTCCAGCAACCCCCCCGCAGCCGGCTCCGCAGTGGTCTGGTCCGGTTGCGGGGTGCTGGTTTGGGTTCTAGACCGAACGCGGCGCGTTCTCGGCCGCGGATTGTGCCTCAGCCAGGCCCTGGCTGCGGCTGCTGTGCCTAAGGCAGCCTTGGCGCCATGGAGGAGCCCAGGGCTGCCCCTCAGCCGTACTTGGGGCTGGTCCTGGAAAAGCTACGCAGGGTAAGTCCAGGCGCGATCTGGGTTACTTGGCCCAGGGGTCGCGGAAGCCGCCCGGGGAAGGAAGCAGCCGACTTTGGCTTTGGGGTCTGAGCGGCAGTGGTGGGAGGTCCCCAAGCCAGTCTTCGTGTGCCACCAGTTCGGCCTGTGTGCGAGGCAGTAGCCGGGTTCGTGGGGTACTTGGGCCGTTTTTTGTGTGGTGGAGGGAACCTGGAGATGAGGAAGGTGAAGAGAGCATTTGCTTAGTGGGACTTTACGAAGGTGTGTTAAATGTTTCCCGATTCCTAAAACGAATTATCCTTTCCGTCTTGTTATTTGTTTTGAACAGGGGTCAGTGACACGTAGTTACCCCGACTGTAGGAAACTTGACTGATCCTCTGAAATGAGTTCTTTTTAGTGATGAAACTTCTCGGTGTCCTGAAAGGATACCTAAGCCTGGACGGGGAGTTGGGATGCTAATTCTACATTTTCTCTTAAGATGCTCTTTTGAGAATCTTTACCACAAGTGAGATTGTTCTTCTCTTCTTTTTGTTGTCTTGTTAATGTAAAAGGTAGTGTTAATGTAAAATCTGTAGATACTAAACTACAAGTGTTCAAAATTATTGGTTTAGTTTATAATGTTGCAGGGATTTTTCTGAATATTTACAGGTGTCTTTGTAGACCTGTTTAGTGACATTTATGTTGCCGTGTTTAAAAAAAATTGTTTGCATTAAAAACTTAAAAAGCCCCTTTAAATATTGGAGCAGCTGTGATTATTTGTTTCTTGTTATGTAAATAAAAAGTACAGTTGCCATGGTATTCATGTATATCTCACAGTTCTATGGGGATTCTAAGTGGACTGTGACATAATCTGGGCCACTGGCATCCTGCTGTCTGTTAAGGGAGGCAAGACAAAAAAAGGTACAAAGTAGAAACTGATGAAGTGCTTACTGAAGGGTATACAGAAAGTGCTAGGGAAACTGAGGGGTGGGAGGGATTACATTTCTTGAGTCTTTAGGAAAGACTGAAGGAGTGGTTTAAGCAGAGGAGGCGTGAAACAGCATGGTGTGCGCAGCTTACTAGAAGTATAAAGTGGGCTGAGGGAGTGATGGGCAGTGATGTGCTGGAGACATAAGTAGTTTCCAGATAAGGGTGCTGGAGAGCCATTGTGCTTTTACTTAGCACTTTAGCTAAGCCTAATTCCTCAGAATGTAGCCACAGCAAGACTGAAACATTTAAGTAAACCTTTACTAAATGTCTGAATGCAAAAAAAGAAGAAACCATAGAGAATTAGATACAACTAACTCAGCCTACACAATGTGCCTTCCTCTTGGCTCCTAGGCTGTCTCATTTTGGGACCTGGCTTATTTTTTATGTGCCAAGCACCATTTTAGCACCCATCTCTATGTTTAGCAAAGTCTGTGTCCCAAAGAGAATGACTGAGGTAGAAATAGGGGTTTCCTTTTAGAGATCCTCACCCTTTACCTGTATGCTGGGCTTGGGAAAGACCACCTTCCTTTCTTCATCAAAGGTGGTAGACCGTAACCATTTGCAGGAGGTTTCCCATTTCAATAGAACAGATCAGCAGATGGTCTTCTGCAGTGGGCCTTCCAAGACATCGACACAGGTTATCGTCCAATAAACTGGTATTATAAAATTCAGAGTTGGGAGTCACAGATTTTGTGAGTTATCATAGTTGAAGTTAATTTTCTTGCCTTGAAGGTTGTGACAGCATTGCCTGAAGATATGAGAAAAGGTTCTAATCCCTATGGTTTTCCATGGGAATTGCTGATATGTGCAGCAATTGTTGGATTTTTTGCTGTTTTCGTGCTTCTGTGGAGAAGTATTCGATCGGTAAGTAACTAATGCTATATACATACTAAGAGAATGCTCAGTTTGTCTTCCTATTGAACAAGTAATAATAGATACATCTTTTATTTTAAGATAACAGGTTAGGTTGTAGTTATGTGGGTCACTCGCGTTAATGTGTGGCTACTAGAAACAATATGGATTTAGAGGAATTTTTTTAATGTAAAAATTTTAAAGAATTTCTTTGAAGAACGAATACTAAAACCCTACCTTTATTATTTATTTGTGGTCTTTGCTTATTTTTAACAGTATACTAAACATCTGTGAGTATACCACTCAAGCTGGAAACAAAACCATTGACTCTCACTTGTAGATAGGTGATCCTCCCTTATTTCATCCCCCTGCCTCCTGTCCTAGAGGTAACCCTGCCCTGGATCCTGTCTTGATTATTCCTATGCCTTAAAATTTTTTTGGTCCTATCTGCATATATTTGTCAAAAGTATAGTATGTGATTTTACTTGGTATCATGCTGTGGGACTTTTTAGTTCCATTCTATATTGCTAAGAGTCATCCATATTTTTGGATGAGACTCTTAATTTCTTTCCATTTTGATTGCTCTAGAAATTACATTGTAAGAATATACTAAAACTTATTGATTTTATGGTCTTGGACATTTGGGTTGTTTTCAGGTTTTTTCCTATTACTATTAGTGCTGCTTGCTCTGTTTATTCTTTTCAATTAAAATTTTTTTTCAATTACAGTTTACATTCAATATTATTTTGTATTAGTTTCAGGTGTACAGTGTAGTGGTTAGACACCCATATACTTTACAAAGTGTTTCCCTTGATATTTCTAGTCCCCACCTGCTATGTATACTCTTATTCATATCTCCTGATGTATATTTTAAAGTTTCTCTTGGGAATATACTTATTCCCAATATACTGTGAAATCCCTGGGTTATAGGGTATATGGAGGTTCTACTTTTAAAGCATAACACCACCTTGTTTTCCAAATTGTCTGTACCAGTTTACACCCTTACCAGCAATATATAAGAGGTTCAGAGATCCATTTGGTTTCTCACCTCTGAGCACTTTTTATTTTGCCACTTGAATGGATATAAAATGGTATCATATCATGGTCTTGGTTTGAATTCCTTGATCACTAGTGTGATTGAAATCTCTTAACTAAGTTTACCAGCCATATGTATTTGTTATTTTGGGAAATAATTGTTTGTGTCTTTTGCCCAAGTTTTTATTGAGTAGCTTGTTGTTTTTTATTTGTAGGAATTCTTCATTCTTGATGCTATCCTTGTTGATTTTGTGTATGGCCTGTGTCCCAGTATGAAACATCTTTTTCTTAAGGTGTTTTCTGATGAAAAGATATTCTTTTTTTTTTTTTTTTTAATATATCTTTATTTATTTCAGAGAGAGGAAAGGAGAAAGAGAGACACTCAGAAACATCAATGATGAGAGAGTCATTGGGGATCGAGCCCGCAACCCGGGCATGTGCCCTGACCGGGAATCAAACCCCGATTGCCTGGATCCTAGGTCGACGCTCAACTGCTGAGCCACACCCGGCCGGGCAACAGATATTCTTCATTTAAAAATTTTGCTTTTAAGACATAAGCTCTTGATTCATCTTGAATCCAGTTTTTTGTTTGATATGAGATAAGGATTCAGTGTAATTTTCCCTCCAAGATATAACCATTTTTTCCAGCTTCATGTATTGAATAGTCTCTCCTTTTCCTACTCATCTGCTATGCCACATATTAGAGTTCCACAAACATGTAGACCTTTTCTGCACTCTCACTTCTGTTCTTTTAATATGAGATCTTTTATCATTTTTTAATTTGAGGAAATTTCTTCTGCATTTTACATTTTATTTCTCTTTTTTGGGACTACTATGTTTTCGCTGTTAGCCCTTACACTTAAGATTTCTATATCTCTAACTTAAAATAAATTTTTTTTGGGTAGTTTCCTATTATTTTTTGAGGAAGTTCCTCAATCTGATGTTCAGTTCACTAATTTATCCCTCATCTTTACCTCTTCTACTGTACCTTGACTTTTAAATTTTGTTTCTTTTAATTTTATCCCTATACAACTTCTGTAGATGATTTAAGTCCCCATTGTTTCTTATACTTGCTTATATTACCTGAAGCCTAAGCCTGATCTCCCTACAGGTGGAATTTTTCCTTCATTATTTGAGAGAGAGAGGTTAAAGAATAAAAAGGTAGTGTTTACTGTTTCTTTGTAGTCAGTTCAGATCCGTGGCCCTGTGATAACATTTCTCAGATTGTGTTATTTTGGCTATTAGCACTAGGGGAGATGATAATAGGGGCTTCCTGAAATAATTTGTTTCAGGGTCAAATATGTTTGAGGAGCAATGGGCTAAATCAATTAAACAGATATTTTTAAGATACAGTTATTTCAGAGCCTAATATACAGTGTGAACTTTTTAATAGAGAGATTTTAATATATAGCATTTTTCTGATTGGACATAGATTACTTTTGGCTAACTTTTGACTAACTTCATACTAAGGCAGTAAGAAAAGTTTTATTTTTAAGTTGGCAGTATAAACTACATAAATTAGATTTACTTGAATGTGTATTTATTTTAATATAATTTTGTTTAAAATTTGTTTCAGATAAGAAGCCGGCTTTATGTGGGTAAGCTCTTATTTTCTACTTTAGACCTCACAATTGATTATAATTTTAAAACTTAAAACACTTTACACATGAGAACATTAACTTTTAATAAGTTTACTGGGGTAACATTGGTTAATAACATTATATAATTTTTAGGTGTACAAGATTATAATTCCACATATGTGTATTTTGCTGTGTGCTCACCACCTGAAGTCTAGTTTCCTCCCATTACCATGTATTTGATCCCCTTTACCCATTTTTCCCCCTCTCCACCCCCTTTCCCTGCTGGTAACCATCATTCTGTTGTCTATATCTATGAGTTTGTTTGTTTTGTTAGTTTGTTTTACTTTTTGTTTTATATTACACATATGAGTGAAGTATGTTTTTTGTCCTTCTCAGCGTGACTTATTTTACTTAGCATAATACTTGAAAGATTCATTCATGTTGTCACCAATATGAATATTTCATCTTTTTTATGGCTAAGTAGTATACCATTATATATATTTTATAATATATATTTGTACAATCAAATATTCTTTAACCAGTTGTCTGTCAGTGGACACTTAGGTCATTTTCATGTCTTGGCTGTTGTAAATAACATTGCAGTGAACATAAGGGTACATATATCTTTACGGATAAATGTTTTCATATTTTAACTTTTGTTTAGAAAGAGAGAAAAAGCTTGCTGTAGAACTTTCTGCACTCATTGAAGAAAAATGTAAATTACTTGAAAAATACAGCCTCGTACAAAAAGAGGTAAGACATTTTTGAAAATGTTAACATTCATGTTAGAGTCAGAGGATTTTATACTTCTAAGTACAGGTGCTCTGTGTTAGTTTAAAATTATTAATGCTTTGTTTGCAAAGTGTATGAGAGTTCAAATTGCTCTTCATATTACTAGGTTTCAGTTTGCCTTTTCCTGACTAATGAGGTTAAGCACCTTTTTATATGTTTATTGGCTGCTGCCTTTTTCTTCTTTCTTCCCCTTCCTCCTCCCCCTCCTCCTCCCCTTCCTCCTCTTCACCATTTTAAAGATATAGTTATCTATCTTTTTCCTTTTTGATACGTAGGACTTTTTCCTATATTTTGAGTTTGAGTCCTTTGCCAGATATATGTGTTGCAAATATATATAAAAGGCAAATACAGTGGAACACACTGTGTTTGCCTTTTATTCCAAATGGCGTCTTGGTAGGCAGAAGTTTATAATTTTAACATACTCTAATTTGTCAGTCTTTTTTTATGATGGGTGACTGCTTTTTGTTTCCCACTTAAGATATTCTTGTCTACTCAAAGATATGAAAGTATTCTTCCATGTTATCTTTAAGAACTTCATTTTAACTTTTCTTGTTTAGTCTTGATGTTAGTTTGCTAGGACTGTCATACCACAGGCTGGGTGGCTTATACGACAGAAGTTAATTTTTTTTACACTTTTGGAGGCTAGAAGTCCAGGACCAAGGTGTTGGCAGGTTTGGTTTCTTCTGCGGTCTCTCTCCTTGGCTTGCAGATGGCAGCCTTCTTGCCTGGTCTTTCCTCTGTGCTGGTGCCTGTTTCTGGCATTTCTCTGTGTGTCCAAGTTTCCTCTTCTTAAAAGGACACATTGGATTAGGGCCACCCTAAAGGACCCTTTTTAACTTAATCACCTCTTTAAAGGACCTGTCTTAAAATACAGTCAAATTCATACTGGGGATTGAGGCTTCAACATATGAGCTTGGGGAACAATTCAGCCAAAATTTATTCAGTCCTTAATCTCTCTGGAATTGAACCTGTGATGGTGTGACTTGGAGGTCAAGATTTAATGTTTTTCACATGGATATTGAATTAACCAGTACTATTTTATTGAAAGGACCATCTTTTCCCTTTAATGTCATCCTCTTAAGTCAAGTGACTATATAGTTTCTATAGCTTCTGTCTTGTTGATCTATATATATATTTTTTTTTTGTTTTGNTTTCCCTTTGTTTAATGTCATCCTCTTAAGTCAAGTGACTATATAGTTTCTATAGCTTCTGTCTTGTTGATCTATATATATATATTTTTTTTGTTTTGTCTTTTTTTTAAAATATATCTTTATTGATTTCAGAGAGAGGAAAGGAGAGGGAAAGATAGAAACATCAATGATGAGAGAGTCATTGATCGAGCCCACAACCCGGGCATGTGCCCTCACCGGGAATTGAACCCCGATTGCCTGGATCCTAGGTCGACGCTCAACTGCTGAGCCACACCCGGCCGGGCTCTATATTTTTTTAATTCTCATGTCAACCATGCTTTTTAAATCTATTATTTTTAAAACAAGTGTTTTGTTTTGTTTTTATTTCTCACCCGAGAGCATTTTTTTCCATTGATATTTAGAGAGAGTGGAAGAGAGGAGGGGGAGAGAGAGCGAAAGAGAGAAACATCGACGTAAGAGAGATACATTGATTGGCTACCTCCTGTACTCGCCCAGACAGGGACCGGGGATCGAAACCTCAACTGAGGTACGTGCCTTTGACTGGGAATTGAACCCAGGAACCTTTTGTTGTGGAGCTGACACACTAACCACCGAGCCAAACTGGCCAGGGCATTTATAACAAGTCTTGACATCTGACAGTGTACACCTCTAAGTTCTTCTTCAAGATTGTCTTGGCACTTTTCCTCCCGCAAAATATGTTTTTATTGATTTCAGAGAGAGGAAGGGAGAGAGAGAAAGAGATAGAAACATCAATGATGGAAGAGAGTCATTGATCAGCTGCCTCCTGCACGCCCTCTACTGGGGATCTAGCCTGCAACTTGGGCATGCGCTCTGACTGGATTGAACCATGATCTCTTAGTTCATAGGTCGATTCTCAACCACTGAGTCACACTGGCCAGGCTGTTTTGGCATTTTGCCTTTCTATATAAATTTGAAATTACCTACTTATACACATACATAGCCTCTCTGGGAATTTGATTAGGATTGCATTGAATATATAGCTCAATTTGGAGAGAATTGATATTTTACAACGTTGCATTCTTGTGAATGGACTATTGTATACCCCCTCCATGTATGTCTTTTTGAAATCCTCTCCATAATATTTTATACATTTGCTTTTTTAACTCCTCACCCGAGGATATTTTTTCCACTGCTTTTTCAGAGAGAGTGGAAGGGAGAGAGTGAAACATTGATGTGAGAGACACATCGATTGGTTGCCTCCCACACGCACTCTGACCTAGGCTGGTCATTGAGCCTGCAACCCAGGAATCGAACCTGGGACCCTTCAGTCCTCAGGCTGATGCTCTAACCACTGAGCCAAACTGGCTAGGGCTTGTTTTATGTATTTTTGAGTTGAGGTCTTGCATATCTTTTTTAAAATTTATTCCCTGGTATCTGATGATTTTTAAAACTTGTAAATAAAAGTTTTTTTTTTTACAGCTTTGTTGGGATGTTATTCATGTACTATACAATTCACCCATTTGAAATATACAAATGAGTGACTTTTAATATATTCACAGAGTTGTGCATCCGTTACCACAATAAATTTCAAACATTTTTATTACCCCAGAAAGAAATGCTGCACCCCTTAGCTACTACCCTTCACCTAGTCTCTTCCATTCCCAAGCCCTAGACAATTGATGTACTTTTTGTTCTTATAAATTTGTCTGTTCTGGATTCCATTTCACATGAATGGAATCACTTAACATGTCGTTTGTAATTGGCTTTTTATTTTTATTTAGCATGATGTTTTCAGGGTTCCTCTGTGTTGTGTATAGATTTACCTGTTCTGGACATTTCACATAAATGGAATCATATAATGTGTGGTCCTTTGTACTTTGTGTTTTTTTTTTTTGCCAAATAATATTTTGAATATTTCATTTGTCAATTGATGGACATTTGGATCATTCTCCTTTTTGGCTATTATAAATGATGCAGCTGTGTGCATTTATGTATAGGTTTTTTTGTGGATATATTTTGATACATGTTTTCAGTTCTTTTGGGTACTGTATACCCAGAAGTAGAATTGCTAGATCTATATTTAAATTTTGAAAGAACTACCAAATTGTTTTCCACCATGACTATACCAGTTTACGTTCCCACCAGCAGTTTGTGTTACATTTCTCCACATCCTTCCCAACACTTGCTATTACGTCTTTTTGGTTATAGCCAATGTCTAAGAACTCCATTATTTTTCTTCTAGGAGTCTGTTTCTTTTATTCACTTTTCCACTTGGTTCTCAGTCAGATCTTGTCTTTTTATATATTTATTTTATTATTATTTTTTAATCCTCACCCAAGGATATGCTTATTGATTTTATTATTTATTTATTTATTTATTTATTTATTTATTTATTTATTTATTTATTTATTTATTTTTTCTTTTTAAATTTATCTTTATTGTTGAGAGTATAAGGATATGCTTATTGATTTTAGGGCAGGGGTAAAAGAGAGAGAGAGAGAGATTGAGAAACATCAACTGAGCCATACCGGCCAGGGCAAATCTTGTCATTTTGAATACCAGGTTATTTATATTGCGTGTCAGTGATGGTATAACAAAAATGGTACAAGATAATTTTGAAGTGGATAATATCTTTTTCCAGTGTGATTTACTATTGCCTTTCGTAGGCAGCTGGGCTAGGGCCATTTGAAATCTTAGATTAATCACAGATTAAGATGTTTGGAAATTTGTCCTTAGTTCAGAGGATTAGTCTGTTTCTGGTTTAGACTTGCTTATGAAATAGCCAGTGTGGGTTGTTATCAGTTTCCTCTTGCTGTTGTAACAAATTACCTCAAACTTAGTGGCATAAGGCAACACAAATTTATTCAACTGTAGTTCTGGAGGTCAGAAGTCTAAAGCCAGTCTTATAGGGCTAAAATTAAAGTATCAGTAAGTCTGTGTCCTTAAGGAGGCTCCAGGAGAGAATGTTTCTTGCCCCTTCCGCCTTCTGGAGGCACCCACATCCTTGTCTCACAGCTGCATCACTTCATTCTCTGGTTCTGTCTTCACATCATCATCTCTACTAACGTTGATCCTTTTGCCTCCCTTTTATAAGGCCTCTTGAGATTATATTGAGCCCACCAATATAATCTTATATATCCGCTCCATCTCAAGATCCTTAACTTAAATCAGATTCAGAAATTTTGGGGATTAGGGTAGAATTTGGAGAAGTCATTATTTAGTCTACCTCAGGGTTCCATCCTAAAACCTGAGCTTCATGGCTCATCCTACTCATCAGGTCCTGAACTCCAGGTTTTATCTTCTCAACTCCCAATTCTGCTACAATCTCTGCTCAGCTTCTTAGCCTACCGTTCTCTACTTTTGTGTGTGTGTGAATGTCAAGTTCTGGACTTGCTTTTCTGATGATTTTGTTTCCTGTCACACATTCTCACTATTTTGATAACTCTCTGAGGTCTTCAGACACATCATGTCTTTTGGTATTTTTGTCCAGCTCTTTTTCTTGTTCTTAGTGAGAAGGTTAATCCAAAACAACCTGGTCTTCCTTAATTAATTGCTTTTTTAAAAAGCATTGAAATAAGTGCATTTTGCTAAATCCTATAGCATTGTATGTTTCATTGTCCTTATTTTACATTGTTCTTGGTAGTTCTTTGTATTCTTTTAAACATTTTATATTCCCTACTTGCTTTATTTGTTGTTAGATTTGAATTAGAAGTGAAAATTTCTGATGGACACTGGTATACATCTCTCCTTTATGACTAGGTAGACTTTGGATAGCTCTCTAAGTCTTAAGTGTGAGGCTCTGCCATTTGTTGCTCAAGCTAGTGGGTTGTGATGTGTTAGCTACCCTCGCTTTGTTTGTTACAGTGGTCAAATTTGAAGAACTTTGTAAAGCTAAGTAAATCCAAGTAAATTTAACATACCTATGGAAGTAGATTGATTCTGTCTGCTTCTTAGATACCTATTCAGACTTGTAGTTTTTACTTAACAGTGTTGCTTTCTTTCAGTATGAAGGCTTAGAGTCATTAAAGGATTCCAGTCTTGAGAAGGAGTCAACAGAAGCTCAAAATTTGGAGGTAAAAATAAGTAGTATAATTATAAAAGCTGGGGGAATAGCATAAACTTTAAATGTAATGTATCTTCTCAAAACTCTTTCAAAGGAAATGTAAAAGAACCTTTTACATTTAAAATGTACATGTTAAACTTAAAAAAAAAAGTTAAATATAGGAAATAGAATATTACTAAGTAGCATAAAATATTTTAAATAATAGAGCTGTTGTTGCTGACTTGTTTTGAGTGAGGTGTTCAGTTCACTGGAATCTAGTGTGATATAGAAGCTCTTTATTCTTCATTCCTGGGAAATGTATTAAGGTGACTTTTTTTAAAAAAAAACCACAAACTTATTTTGCTCCAGAAAGAAAAAAATAGTATTAACTTTCATAAATTTAGGACTAGTTGGTAACAATAAATTATGTAAATTTTGGCAGTACTTGTTTTTACTTTTTCCCCAGTGTATTAAGAGCAATTAGACTTAAACCAAAGATTTATATTATAAGCAGTAATATGCTGGTAAGTATTTAACAACTGGATATATGAAAAGCAGAAGCCCTTAGTTGTAGCATTTGCTGAGTTCTGTTGTGTAAATACTCTGACTGTGACCAATTTCGAGATGTCAGCATGATATCAATCTAGAGTTTGGAAGACATGCATAGTCAGCTCTCTTGAGCCATTTATGATTGGGCTAATATTAAGGAAGGAAGGTATCATAATTTTTTCCTTGGCTAAACTCTGACAGGTTATCTTAGGTACTGGGAGTACCTTACTACTCTTTTGAGGGTGGAAGTGTTATACAAAGTTTACTAATATTAAAGTAGAAAACAATAGACTTTCTACCTGTGGTGTACGTGTTCAGTCAGCCCAGCGTGGCGGTTCTCAGTCACTGATGCCTGTAGTCATCAGAAAGTCTATGGATAATGATTCAGAACTTCCTACTAGAGTCTGAAGTAAGTTACAAATTGAATTCCAAATGAAATAAATTTCTTAAGCTTTTCTTCACTTGTTACCTATTAATATCTTCAAGGACTTGTTGAAATTGTTATATTTTATTGACCCTCTCTTTTAACTACTGTTCTTGTAGTAATTTATTAGTTTGATAAAAAAAATTTTAAAAGGCATTTAGCATGCTTAGAAAAACCCCAAAAACTGGAGGGCAAAGGCATTTACTCAGGCTTGTTGGTATTGTGGATAAAATAAAACAGTAGTTTATTCTCAAGACATTGAATTTACTTAATTTAGCGGTAAGATTAGCTGAATTTTTACTTCTAAAATGAACATTTGAGAAGTTTTTGTCTAATTTGAGCAATTTTAAAAAATGTTTATTTTTAAGATTGGTAAATTGAATATAAACTAATATGATGCAACTTAAAAAATTTGATGGTTGAATCTGTAGATAAAATCAAAATGTTACAGTAATTTTGATTCAAGTAAGAGAATTCTTACAATGAAATAGTCAAATTTGGGGAAATATATATAAATAAGTTTTTTAACCACTATAATATAGTATGTACTTGTTTTGCTTTTATTTTGACCTACATTAAATTCTTTGACTTTTTGGTTTATTTATTTTTTAACAAGTTTGTTGAAGAAACACAAATATCAGAGGTATGTTTATTATAGTATTTAATATCCAGTTGGAATAATCCAATAACTAATCGTTTTAAATTCAAAAAGTCACAGAAAATATATCTTAATTCAGTGTAGATAATTATTATTAAACAATCTTGATTGGGTTTTGAATTTATTTTTCATGTTATTATGTCTTTAATTTTATTAAATTGGATTTATTCCCCATTTTTGCTTTTATAATGCTTTAGAGCAGAGGTTGGCAAACTAGATTCTTTGTATTCCACCTGTTTTTGTAAATAAAATTTTATTGGAACACAGCCATGCTCATTCATTTACGTATTGCCTTTGCTTTCTCACTACATAGGCATAGTTTAGTAGTTGGGACAGAGACTGCATGGCTTTCAAGCCTAAAATATTACGCTCTGGCTCTTTATAGAAAAAGTTTGCTGACCCCTGCTAGAGTTGCTATTATTTCAGTGTTATAAAAAATGAACAAATAGCCCGGCCGGGAGTGGCTCAGCGGTTGAGCATTGACCTGGGATCCAGGCGATCGGGGTTCAGTTCCCGGTCAGGGCACATGCCTGGGTTGCGGGCTCGATCAATGACTCTCTCATCATTGATGTTTCTGTCTTTCTCTCTCTCTCTCTCCTTTCCTCTCTCTGAAATCAATAAATATATATTTAAAAAAAAAAATGGACAAATATATAAACTAAATTTATTTAACTCACTGTACATGTGTTTTATTATACTTATCTATTTACCCTAACCCAAAATTCCTAGGTCTGTCTGATAAAGTTGGCTTCCTCTTTCAGGCACTCTGTGAAAAACTGAACAGTTCCAAATCTGAATTTGAGGATGAAATACTCTTTCTAGAAAAAGAGTTAAAGGAAGAGAAATCTAAACATTCTGAACAAGATGAATTGGTAAGACTTCTGTGTTTGAGGAGACTGTAGGTAGAAGAAAGTTACTGTATTTTTAAAAATTATGATATTGTTTAAAGCAACAATTTTCAACCTTTTTAATTCTCATAGCTCACATAAATTAATTACTGAAATTCTTTGGCACACCAAAAAATATATTTTTTGCCCATCTCACACAAAAATAAGTATACTTTTGATTCATTCACTCCGGATGTCTATTGTTGTGTTGGCTGTTACCGTTTTTTTAAGTTGACAGTCTAAGGGAAGAGGGTTAAGTGCCCCTGACTAAATAGTCAGGCATTGCATGTCTTAAAAGTCCTTGTGGCTCACTGGTTGAAAATCACTGGCTTAAAGTACTGCATACACTGTAAAAGATGTAAATATAGAAGGCTGTAAAGTGGACAGTAGAAATTTTCAGATCCACTAGCTCTTTTCATTTGCTAGAGGTTACCATTGTCTTGTTAAGATTCTTGCATATCCTTATAGTTATTTTCTATATGCACTATGGAAGTAGCTCACATAACTAGTTAATTCGAGTAATCATATACATAGTGGATTTTATTTTATCACTCAAAAAGTATGTTCAGAACATTTTAACTTTCCTTTATTTTTCATTCTATTTTAAAGTCTCTGTTAAGATCTTGATGTGTGTGAGATTTAGTAAGATGTAATATTAGTGGACTTTTCTAGAGCCTATATATAAACTTAAATGTCATGAAACATTAAAGATGAGATAAAATACTGTTATGTGACTTTCATGGGAAATTCCTTTAAGCAAATGGCTGAGAAGATTTCTTAATTTGAGCCCTCAGCTTTTTGAGGAAAATTTGTTAGGTTAATGATATATCTGATGTATGCGGCATCTTGGAAACTGGAGAAGTTTAGTAAATACTTGTTTATTGATTGATACTGTTTTTTCAGATGGTGGATATTTCAAAAAGGATACAGTCCTTAGAAGATGAATCAAAATCACTCAAATCACAAGTAGCTGAAGTAAGTTGCTTTAGTCTAATAGGTCTTTTGCTTTTGAAAATCATTTTAATTTTACTGCTACTTTTATGATTAAAAAATACGATATAATTTTAGAATTTGAGATATAGGGGTCTTAGATATATATGTTTTATACAAGGTACCTCAGGAAAGTTTTTTTTTTATTGGACAAATATTTATTGAGCTATTGCTGTGTACTGGTTACTGTTGTAGGTGATAGGCACGTACATTTTCATTTTCATTTTTATTTTTTTAATTTTTAATTTATTATTTTTTAAATATACCTTTATTGATTTCAGAGAGAGGAAATGGGGGAGAGAGAGAGAGAGAGAGAGAGAAACATCAATGATGAGAGAGTCATTGATCAGCTGCCTCATGCACACCCCCTGACTGGGGATCGAGCCCACAACCTGGGCATGTGCCCTGACTGGGAATCGAACCCCAATCGCCTGGATCCTAGATCAATGCTTAACCGCTGAGCCACGCCCGGCCGGGCAGCACATACATTTTTAGACAAAATAGACAGGAAAAGCTCTCATGTAGCTTAAATTCTGGTAAGTGAAACAGATAATAAAAAGTTAATTAATTGCTCAGTCTGGTGTGGCTCAGTTGGTTGGACGTCGTCTGGCGCACCAAAAGGTTGCACGTTAGATTCCTGGTCAGGGCATGTGCCCGGGTTGCAGGCTTCATCTCCAATAGGAGGAGTGCAGCAGGCAGCTGACCGATGTTTCTCTCTCACATTGATATTTCTTTCTCTCTTCTCCTCTCCCTTCGTCTCTCTCTAAATCAATAAAAACATATTTGAGAAAAGTTAATTAAACTTCCTACATAGTACATAGTAGGTTACAAGAGGTTAAATGAAGGTTTAAAGTCACATAGGTAGTTAGTGTGGGAACCATGACTAGATCCTAGTTCTAGGCCAGCCTTGTTCTTCTATACTATGCGCCTGTTCTATTAATATTGGCATGTTTTTTTACTTTAATTACATGTTTTAGGAAATATGTGTAAAAAAGAGCTATTGTATTAAACTAATTATTATAAACTTGATATGTTATATTTTACTTAGGCCAAAACAACCTTCAAAATATTTCAAATGCATGAAGAACGACTTAAGATAGCTATAAAAGATGCTTTGAGTGAAAATTCCCAACTTCAGGAAAGCCAGAGACAGGTTTGTACTGTAGAGACTCTTCAACTTGTATTTATAAATCTTCTGGGCATACTGATGACTGACCCATGCTAAGGGCAAGAGAAGGCTTTTCCTGGAGAGCGCAAGAGCAGGGCAGTCTTCCATATATCCTTTTGTGTCTCTTTTGTGTAGGATACATTTTAATACAAGTAAGGCATGGTATGTATATACCATGCTATATGGGCTATAAGGAATGGTACAAAATGACCAAATCTAACATATATATCTCAGAAAACTTTTTATTTGGTGTAAGTTTATTATGTTAATCGGTTGAAGAATGTTTAAGTGTCTGTTATTTTACATTACCACTCTTTTGAAAGGTCTTTGCAAACAGGAACCCACCCTTCCTTTTCTACTTCTGCCCCTCCCTCCCTCCTTCATTGCATCCCTTCCTCTTTTTCTCCCTCCCTTAGCAGCACACTGTATTGGTGTAATATCTCTTAATGATACACTTAAATATATAAATAAGTATGATAAGATAATATGAGTTTTTCTTCTCTTTGTGGGGTTTGAATTTTAGCTTTTACAAGAAGCTGAAGAACTGAAAGAACAAGTGAGTGAACTTAATAAGCAGAAAATAACATTTGAAGACTCCGGAGTATATGCAAAACAAGTTCTGTGTGATAAAGAAAATCAGATCAAGGTAAATGGCCCTGCCGGTTTTAGTGACTGAGTCAGCTAGAATTTTATACTAATCTGAAATTTGAAAATTTTGTTTTTAGCAGTTTTTATTATGATCATTTGGCCAACTTGAGACTGTGTACTTTTTTGGCATACATTTCAATTTGTACCAGTATTGTCATCCTTGCTGCGAAATGGTGACAAAATATATACATATTTTATATATGTATGTATATGTATCTGGTATATCTCAACATTCCTTTTGTCCCCTTTTCTCTCTCCTTATTTTAGTATGGGTATTAAATGAGAAAAGAAAAAGGATAATGGATTTCACCTTTGTCTTTAGAATGCCATCTGTTTCTGTTGATAAGAGGTTGGAAAGAATTTTAGAAATTGGACAGATGAAGTTATATGTATTAGCTGAATATCTTTAATACTTAGATTAGCTAGTGTATGTATTTTCACAGAGATGAATACTTTTAGAAAATAAATTGAATTGAAACTTGTCTCCTTTTCCTACCCCCTTTCCTGCCTACTCATTTAAATCTTATGCTTTCAAGCTGCAAACAGATACTCAGGTGTGAGTATCAAGTAATAAAACTAACATTCTGTAATTTACAAAGTGAAGTGGATGTTATCATCTTGAAAGCTGCTTATGTTGCTACTAAGAATGTTTTCAAGATTCTATCTTTAGGAGTTGTATTCATAATTTGGCATATTGTTTTATTCCCCCCCCCC